TGTGGTCTTCTTACTCGTTTTCGTTGACATCTTTTCACGATAATGAGCCCTTGTATTGCAGTATCACTTGCTCTTGCACTATCATCAACTTGGTGCACAGTTACACCGTGTCCGTGAAAGACGCTTTTAGCGTAGACAAAAACTACCGAAGCCCGAATACTCCTATCTCAGTCAACGGAAGAACTATGTAGCGGTGACGCCAACGTTAACGAAGCACTCTCTTTATGTGCATCTTTATATTGCGTTAGTAAACGTAACAGAGTAACGGGATAGGTTACGTCTGACTACACACAATGATCACCAACCAATCACGTCCCATTCTCCTTTAAACAAGCACCAATAGGAGAAGATTCATCCGTTGTTAAACGCGTCAATCTTGAAGATGACTTTCACTAGAAACCCTATGAGAAAATGAGTAGAACAATGATTAAACTTCGGTTTAAGTTTTCATAAATTATAATCTAACTTTTTTATTTTGTTTCTCTTAAAATTTTCATATATGTAAAAATAATGATATAAAGATTTTATAATATTTAAAATATACAACAAAAATTTCGATGCTTATAATAGGATCTTACATTTATATTATTTATCGTACAAATAAGCTTAATTCGAAAAAATATAAAAGAAGTTAATATGATATTTACTAAAATATAGTGCGCATGTGTACAGTGTGTATCGTGTGTATCAAGATATGCACATGTAAAAAGTAAATGACGACTGTACGCGAATAGATACAAGAAACGATAATATAGATATAATATGACAATCTAACCTTCAAGCATTTATTTCTTTATCTGATTTTCATAACATAGAAATTAAGCAGTCATTGAACATCAGTTTTCATAACTTGAAAAAGATATTTAATTTTATATTTCTCTTTTCTTTTTATAGTCACTTTGAATACGTTATAAATAAATTCCGTTTAACATTTGGTTTTCAAACACCTGTTAGAGGGCAGTAAAGTAGAGATTTTTAAAATGCTTATGGTAACTGTAGGTAGACGTTACTATCCGTGAATGTGTGAATATTGTAAAAAAATACAAATATTTTATATTGAAAGTGGTGTTTATATGATACACACGATTTCCAAAAGTTGATATTAAAACTAGAATTCAATGGATATTAATAAATTATGCATTTCTTGAGAAACAGCTTTTTTATCTTCAATTTGTATCAAGGTTGTTTGCACATAATACAAGATAATGCCATAAAATTTTGATACGTGTTTACGAAGTAATATTCAATTGACGTGAAAAAATTGTAATACTGTTACTAAAAGCGAAGATCGCAAAGATCGTAAGTAGAAAACGTGAACATGTGTGATCTTATAGATTTAAATAGCCCTGACAGAAAAAGTTTACTAAACGCCAGACTTGCGTCGCCTTTAATACCAGTTCCTACAGATACTGTATGCTATAATTATAATACTTGTACGAATGAACCAAATTCTGTAATAACAGGGAAACGTGAGAGTTTAGAGAATAATCCTTTTGATATGGTGTTATGTAAAACTACAGAATATATTCAAAAAAAAGATGACCCTTTTGAAGTGACTTTAGAAAAAGCACTAAGATTGAAATATAAAGAGAGAACATGCTCCCTTGATTTAACAAATGATGTCCTCCAGCAAAAAACATATAAACAAAAGTTAAAACTGAATAAAACATTGGATGAGTTTTTAATTAATGATGAATTAAATCATAACAATATAACTACTGCCAAAATATCTAATGATGCTATCATAGTTCATTCAAATAATAGTAAGATACTAAGTGATAATTTAAAGCCTGTTGATGTTATACCTACCATTGAGATTCAAGATTTTGATTTATCCATTTTAAATCAATCTGTGATGAATGATACATTATTTGAAGGAGATAAAGAATCAAATAAGAATCAAATGAAATCTATTTTACAAAATAAAATGTTAATGCACACAAAGAAAAGCAATGTACAATTTCCATACCCCAATACAGCTTTGAAAGTATCAAAATTAAGACGTTCACTTTCACAAGGAGAAAATATATCTCCAAAAAAGTCAGAATATTTAAATCAAATATCATTAATTGAACCTTTACGAATTAGTTCTGGCAGTGAAACTAATATTGATTCCCCAGATTCACTTAACTTACTGAATGAAGGGTTTTTAAAAAGTCATTGCAGTGGCAGTTCTGTATTTTCAAGTTTATCAGATATATCATCTATACATAAGTTAAATTCTGTTTCTCCTACAATTAATTCATCAACAATTTTATCAAATGGCACCATGAATAGGTCATTTTTAGAAAGTTGTTCATCTGAAAAATCAGATAATATAAAATTAAGTGAAAATATGAGTCTTAATAAAGAAATAAAACCTGCATTTCTAACATCAAATGATTCAATAATATCAGTATCAAATTTATTAACTGAAAGTTCAATATTGAACCTAGCAGACAGATTTAATAAACTCAAAGCAAGTACATCAGAGATTCACACTCCTGAAAATTCTTTGAACAACAAAAATGAACTTGCATATAGCTCTTCTAATGATATAAAAGACTGTGTAACTGTAATGGAAAAAAATGAAAACTGTGATATAAATAATAAGTTAATAGATGTTGATGTATTTTCACCAGACAATAATTGCACTAAAGAACATTGTAAAAGTTCTATTTCAGATACATCATCAGATTCTGTGTTCTTTGTAAGTCTTTTGCCTATTGTATAAAAAATTATTTATTAAAAGCCATCTTCTTTTATAAATAAACATATATTTATTTTACAGGAAGGAAACAAAATTAATAAGTCAATATTTAAGGAAGCAAAACTTCTTGCAAAAACTTTTGAAGAGTTAGCTTTCAAAACCAGTTCCGGATGTAAGCTTATTTTGTATTATTCCTCTCTAAAGTAAAGAAAGAAATACAAAAATGTAAAATATATAAATAATATTTATTAGATTATTTTGTAATAAGCAATGTTGGTATTCCAATTTGTACATGATTTAAATATGTGCTTTCAATAATAACTTTGATTATTACTAGCAAGCATTGATGATCTCATTACAAACAATCCTTTATGGACATCAGAATTATTACCAGCATTTGATGATGAAGCTATGGTTGAAAATTTGATTGAATTACCCACATCTCCTGTTGGATGTAATACAAAGTCAAAACATGAAGAAGTTATGAATAGTGATTCACATACAGATAAGAAAAAAGAACTTAATAATAAAGTTAAAGAAGATGTGAAAAATTTAGAAATGGAACTTACAGAAGTCATATCTACAGAAAAACGTCTCACAGCAGCAACACTTTTATTAGACCTTAAGAAATTGATTAAAACAGAAAATAATGTAGAAGCAAATAAGTTGGTGGAAAATTTAGAAAGAACTTTAGGTATTAATTGCAAGAACAATACTGAATTGTTAACTACTTATCTTAATGCAACTAATAACTTAGCAAAAAATCCACAAAAATCAAACAACAGATTGGAAATAATAAAAAATGTAGCAGAAAATAACATGGAACACAGTCACGAAGATAATTTAACTAGCAATTCAATAGAAAATGTTAAAGAATCAATATTTTGTGAAAATATAAATTTTAATGATATGAACACAAGTAAATGTTCTGATAATCAAAAGTACTTAGAGAAAGTAAGTAGTGAATCAAAATGTGAAATTCCAGAAAGAGAAACCAATATTGAGGAAATGAACAAAGCAATAGATGAAAATGAACTTAATACTCAAAGTGTGTCTAAAGAAGATCCATCCTACAAAAGAGAGAGTAGTAGTTTACTAAACGAGAAAATAATAATTGAACTTCTTGAAAACATAGGAAAAGTATTAAGTGCACAAACTGAAGAACATCCAACTTGGGACATACTTAAAAATTTAGGAAAAGTATTACATTCCACTTCTAATTGTAATGTTGATAAAGATATGGAACCTGATAGTAATTATATAGAAATTGAACAAACTCCAAGGAAATCAAAATTGAAATTTCAAAACAATACAAAGTCCTCCATTTTATCCAAATCAGCTAATAGGTTTAGCTTAGATTTAGGATCAACAGTAAGCATGATACAAACAATTTTTTAAATTCTGAATAATTTTTCTATAATGAAAACTGATAATATTATGTATTGTAGAAACAGCCAGTTAGTAAGAAATTTATCCGAAGAAGCATGTCTGTATCTCAAACACAGCCAATTAAGAATGAACCAAATCCATTAATATCTACTAGCAAAAGTATATCTCAATTAAAAGAAGTAACAAAACGTTTTTCTAGTGATCCTAATTTAGTTAGTACAACAACAAATAAAAAAATAATTGCAAATAACAATAAAAATGAGTTACAAAAAGGTAGTTTTTAAAATTTTTAATATCAGTAATACTGTATTATTTTATTACCAATAATAAATAATTAATTTACATAAATTTTCAAATATAGAAGTAAAAACGATTACCGCATCTAAATTGCAAAAAGAAAAAACTGCAATGATAAGTACAGTTAAAAATAAATTCAAAAAGAAAATTGACACTGATGTCATGAGTAAAAAGGGTCCACTGAAAGCCATTCTTCCCATAGGAAGTATGCAAAAGAGAGGTAACACTTCAAGAAACAAAATATAGATATGTTTCATATTATAAAATTTGTATATTATTCCTCATTTCAGTATTATACTTACCATTTTACAGAAACTATTAGTAAAAAAATAACCCCGCCCATTGGATCTATAACGCCACCTAAATCTCATAAACTAATTAGTAGTACACCTAATTCAACAGACAGTGGACTAAAAAAGGCGAGATCATCAAAACCTGTCGCTTCATCGACTCCAGATGCTCAAAATTCTAAAACACGAAAAATACAAATACAAGTAACTAATTCGAAGAAACGTAACTTTTCTTGTGATATTTCGCCAGTAATTACACCACTAAGTGTTAACAATGGCAATGGAACAAATAATAGTCCACGAAGGTAAGTTTCTCTTTATAATATCCATAAAAATAGTGGAAGCAACAATATGAATTAATTTACTTTTTAGAAAATTACCATCTCCGAAGAAAACAACACCTAAACGTCGATCTACGGAATCTGGTATTCCAAGGTCACAAACACCTCCTGTAAGCAAACCATTGAACTCTTCGTTCGATGTTAACCAGTACGAACGATTATACGAGTCCCCGCAACGTTCATTATATAAAACATCGAATTCACAAAAAAATTCCCCTGTTTCTTTAAAGAAAAACGGAAACAGTACGAAACAAAGTCCCTTAAGGGAGAATAACATGTTTATCAATAAAGTGAAACCGATTAATTTGGTATGTATAAAATCGTATGTTATTCATAAAGTGTTTGTATTTAAAGATAGTAATTAATTGTAATTTATTTTTAAACAGATCTCGAAACTTCGACGACATAGTGTTGATACTAATATAATGGAAAAAGAAAACAATTATATTTAACTCATAAAAACAGCTCTTTTATACTTAATAATGGTTGTGTTATTAAACTTACGCAAGATTTGTTACAACATGTGTATTTTTTTACTTCAACATTTTTTTTTTTTTTGTACTTATGTGTTTTGCAATAAAATATTTAAAACAGTAATTACAATTTCCATTCTTTGTTTTACAATTTTTTTATTTTAATATAAAATTTCGATGACTTACATTCTTTTACGTGAAAATGTGAGTAAAATAACAGTGCTATTATATTATAATCTTTTTTATTGCACATTTAAACATGTATTCTTGTGTAATCAACAATTTATAGAATTTTCTTGATAATTCTAATAAATTAAAAATGAATAACTATACGCATTTCAAACTGAAACTATAAATTACTAGTAGTGATAACAATTGCTACAAAAGTAAGAATATTTAAATATGCCACGTGCGATGCAATTCAAGATTTGCCTACGATCTGTTGCGTCAGATCCGTCGATCTGAAAACAGGCTCAAAAGGGAGCTACTCGGCCGGGAACGAGAACAGCAGCGCTCGGGAATGGCCGATATGTCACGGTCGTTTCTAAAATCACTGACACAGTAACGTATCATGCGTAAATCATCGAAAAAAATTTCATCACAATAAACACTTTTATTATAGTCTCAATTTACAAAAATATTACTTTGGATACATATAACTGACATTATTGTTTAATATGCTAAATATATCATACTGTAAAGAGCATTTAATAAATTACTTTTTAAAAAATAAACTGTTAAAAATAATATTTCCACATATTTCGTGCACGGATGAAGCGTAACTTGTCATAAAAATGTAATTTCTATTTTGTTAATTGAAGTGCTTAAAGAAGAAGACAAGAAAACAGTATAGCTGAATGGTAATCGTTAATTGAGAGGAGAGTAAAGTTGTTATAAGAAGAAAGGATAAGTTGGTGAAAGCGATGCGCAGAAGCCGGCTCCTTGTAGGGTGCTAACAAAGGTATCGCCGCACCTGCACGGACCCGTCTCCGCAAAAAGTGCGCTCCGCGTGTTCCGTACTCCAGCGGCGGTCCGTCCACACTCGCGTGTAGCCGCACCCGGCTCGGCGCTCTTCGGTTTTGTCGGAATAACTCATCGAAGCAGCTGCAAGGAGAATTAGTCGGCGATGCAAACGATTTTTTGAGAATTGTCGGAAGTGACAGTAGCAGCGAGGTGAAGTGCGTCACAGTTTCACGGAGTTCGATCTTTTTGGGCGTTCTGTACAGGGAGAGCTAGCGCGGCGCGCACGAGAGGCCGCCTCTAGAAAAAGAGCGCGTCTCGCGCGTTTCGCTACATTGGAATACGTGATGCTTGCGAAAGTGTCGGAACGATATCGGAAAATTGTAAAAATGTGTACGTCGGTCGTGTAAAAACGTATTGTAAAGCTACGTTACTGTTTTCGAAGGTGTGTGGAGTGGTGCGAATTGTCGGCCGGTCGAACCGGGAGCGAGAGAGGAAGCTGGCGCGCGCCGAAGCTACCTCGGGAAAAGACCGCGTCTTGCAGGTTCGTGCTGTGCTGCGGTGGCTATTGTGCGATACAATTGTCGAAGCTTATCGACATTCTTCGAATTGTCGTATGTGTCATCGCGCACAATATAGACAATAGATCGACTAGAGATTCGTTGAACAGACTGTGCACAGTATCAACGCGGACGTCGTGTATACGGGGAACGCAACCGGCAGCGATATATCCCGCGTGGTACGTATACGCACGTACACATATATACGTAAGCGCGACACGTACGTGTGGCATGCACATTCGTAAAGACTGTGGACTCGTGGAATCGTCGTCGTTTGGTCGCGTGTATCGGAGTGGCCTGTCGCGAAGCGCGCTTAACAGAGAGATCCAACACTGTGGAAAAGTTGTCGGGTGGTAAAAGAGAGAGATCGACGAGAGAGGAGAGGTGTATATCCGTTGTCCGACGATTGGCGCGTGGCGTAGACATTCGACGGTCATTTGGCACGTATGTAGTGCAATTATTCTTCGGTTATCCCGTTTCGTCCCCGTAAAGAAGGCATCATTTATGGGTGCATGGAGCAGTGCATTTTCACGAACGAAACAAAAGACGAAGAAGCAGTTTCCAACCGATACGAAGACGGTTTTCTTTGTTCGGTTTCACGATTATACCTCGATAACGATTTGTTCGAATTTTAAATCGTGCCTCACAACGATTGCCGGAAGGAAGTTACGTACGTGGACACAAAAGTATCCTGACGTCGAAAGTGCGTGCAAAGGGTGTGAAATGCGTCGCGCTGCAGTTCGAAGTTCGATCCAGCAGCGGCGGACGACCTGACTTTGTCAGATTGCCTCTCGTCATCGTACACCTCTCGGCTTCAGTCCAACAATGGATCAGCGCAGCTGCGGTACACGATTCGAAATCCTCTCCCGGTAGCGGACAAAACGATAGAAAGTGATCATTCGTCAGCTTGCTTCCAAGCCGCGTTTAATCGCTTCGTTCGGTGATTAACGCTAAAGCTTCAGCAGACATTTCGCGCGTTCCGAATGCGCCATAGATTTTGCACATTATTGACTTCGTGGATCCGTGCAATCGATAATATTGCATCACGTTAACAAGTTTTTCTCTGGTTGTGTTGTTATTTTATTGTGCAAGCATAGTACGTTCATAGAATTATAGAAGTCAGACAATCGGGTATGTAGAAACATATTGAGGGTGTAAGCTTTTATTATAACGTACTGCTTCAACTTGTTTATGTGAAAGAACGATTCTGCGCTTGATGCGAAGTGGTGCGGCGGACTGTTCCTACTGTGAGGAATGATCGACTTTTTATCTACATATTGTTTGGAATGGTAATCAAGAGTTTTCGATATTTGAACGGAAATACATTTTGTAACACGAAGATTTCATTCGTGCATTACGTTACAAGAATAATTTCGAAGAGAGAAAGATGAGGCGAAAGCCAACAAAGTGATAAAATAGAAGCGGATATACACGCGCAACATATAGAAATTTGCCGGTCGTTATGACATCACGCGCGAATGCTTCGAGCGCCGTAAAAACGTGCGAAAAGTATCGTGAAAATAATTTACATCAGTTCTACGTTATTTTTAAGTGTCGCACAAACGTATATTGTCAAATATTTTATTGTAGTATAAAAAGTCCCATCGACGCGTAAAATAATGCAGCAACACCGGGTAGAAACGCAAATACTCCATGAGGAGCAAATCCTGGAGGCGATAGATCAGTTGCGTCGACGTAAGGCGCGACCTGATGCTGATCGTATTTGCAACTATTTACTAAGGAAATTTTCTGTGGATGCACGGGATACGATCGCCGATCTTCATCGGCTGATCGAAGCGGAGAAAGTCATTCAGGTTGATTACAAGGGCAACACTAGTTATCGAAATGCTTCGAAATGGTCCCGGTTGCAGCTTTACAAAAATCGGCCGGAGGGTTTCGTAAAGGAGAAATTGAACTCCGGGATGGTGGCGGGTGCTGTCGCCGAACTTGTTGTCGAGGAGCCGGATTACCTTGACCAAGGTGTACCAGCTTATAGACTGATTGAACAACTACTCGATGGAGTCTCAAATCCTACTTCTAGACGCATGGTAGAAGATTTTCTCGGTAAAGAAGTAGCCAGTGGTAATTTGACGCGTCTCTCGAACGGCAATTACTCGCTGGTGGCGACGTCTGACATGACAACCACCACCGAGCCAACACATCGAGAATCTTTCACACTTGAGAATGGAAATGCGCGACGCAAGGAACTACATACTGTTTCTTCAACTACAGGTGGTCTTTACGATTTTGACGAGACAGAAAACCTGACGATTACGGACTCTAGGTCGAACACACCGAGGTCTTCACGTCAAGCAAGCCCTAAGTCTGATCCACAAATTAGGAAGGAAGAATGTTACGAAATAATCGTTGGAAGGAATGAAAACACCGAATCGCCGGTAGAACGCGATTCTGTAAAGGATCAGGAATCGCAAGAACCGTCACAAACCTCCGTCGAAGATGTTAAAGAAGAATCGAAAAATACGGACAACCAGACTCATAACCTCAAAAGATCGTCAAAAGGTGAGCGTAAACAGCGCCTACTTGTTCGAACAGACGATCCTATGGACATAGAGATCAAATTTGAGGATTATCGAAAAGACAATAAAGATGATGTAAATTCGCAAAAAGAAAAGAGAGAAGAAACTGGACATCTTAGTGAAGAACGTGATGATGAAGATGCAGGAAGAAGTTCTACTAATCCTTCACCTACACCCTCTAATAATAACGTTGGCGGTTTTCGTAGTGCTCGTAGAAAGGTGTGTGTTTTTAATATTGATTGCCACAATCGTTTATTTAAATTTATTTATATTCAATGAAGTAAACAAAAATTGTTTCAGAGAGCAAAAAAAGTATTTGATCCCTCTGACAATAATCTTGTAAAAAGAAAACGTGGAAGGCAGCCAGGTTCTCAAAATAAGTCTTCTATTTCTCAAGAATCTCAGGATTCTTCCAAAGTAACTGTTAAAGATGGACCTTGTAGACAATGTAGTCTTTGTGCCAAAGAAAAGCAAGAAAATTTAGTTGCTTGCCGTGATTGTACTGTACGAGGTATTGTCATGTTATAACATTTTTTAATTGACACACTGTAATAAATTTAAATTTATTTACAGCACATCCAAGTTGTATTTATAGTCCAGAAGAAATGATTCAAAAGGCAGGTAGCAATTGGCAATGTGAACGTTGCAAGAGTTGTACAATATGTTGTGAAACTTCAGATGCTGTAAGTAGATCATAAAAAATACAATGTCAGTTTCTTTATTTTTCATGTTGTAATTTAATATGATTTTACAGGGACCATTGGCAACATGTTTTACTTGTGACGAAGCTTATCATTATTATTGTCATACACCACGAATAATAATTCCTAAATCAAATTCAAAATGGCAGTGTAATGATTGTGTTCAGAAACAGTATAAAACAAATATAAACCAGAATATTAGTCTGGTTACTAGCAGACCTGATACACCATCAAATCCACCTGTTTTACCCCCAGTTTTAAGTCCTCAAGTTTCCCCTACCAGAGCATCTTCTGATCAAATGGAAGATGATGGCCCAAGAGATGGAATTGATCCAAATATACCTGATGCATCAGATTGGACATCTGAGCAAGTGTATCAATATTTTGCAAGACTTTTCCCAAAAGAAGCAGAAGTGTTCAGACA